TCAGTTATTTGAAAGGAAAATTTTATAAACATATATACATACATGTATACGTACCTTACTCTTGAATATGTTCGTGTAGTGAGTTCGCGAGGTTTTAGTTAAAGAAAACGAAAAATATTTAAATTTAGTAAATGATTTCGATTTTTTTTTACCATTCATTACACACAATCACATTGTTATATAATTAAAAAGTAACATTCATATCATACACATTATATGCAATGTACATATATACAATGCGCCTACAAGCATTTAAGTAATAAATCTCGATTGTATCTAAGTAGACGACTTTCATATGAATTTGTTGCTAATAAGAAACAATATAATTAGAAAACCTAATGAGATCCGAAAAAGCTTAAATCCCTGACCTACATAAATTGCCCAAAACTACTAAAATATTAATGAATATAAGGGATTTGAAGGATTTAAGGTAAATAATTTTTTAAAAAATATTTTCTGCTTATTATTTTTCTTTTTGGCTTTATGGCGATACTTGGGGCTGTGCAGTTTGGGTGGGAAATTTCACGCTTTCCTCTAAGTATTCTAAATAGGTTGTATTGCCTGATTTATATAAATCTCTGCAGGGAAATTGCAATCTAATGTCTTCTCCTCTAATCCACTCATATATGTCTTTCGGAAACACTTTTATATTAATTGCAAATGAAAATGTGTTTAGTTTGGGCCACATCAAGGCTATCATTGTGGATAGTCATGACTGGGACTGAGAGAAAAATGCAATGTTAAAAATTTATTTCATTTTTATTATTTTTCTAATTTATTTAGAACGAAGAGGAGGATCAACACTGCGCCACCAACACTATCGAGCCTTGTTTTATTTAAAAGGCACACTAGGCTAGTGAGTACAAAAGTCGCTAAAAATAATAAAATGCCCTTTGTAATGTCCATATATGCATATCTATAACACATTTCAAAATTTAAATACGATTTTGCAAAACGCAAAACGCCCCGCCCCCAACCGAACAAAATTTCTACAATTTTCATTTTGCTTACGCGTAGGGATATTCTTTTTTTTTTTTTTGGCTTCTCAATTGAACTTGTTGGGTTAAGTTGTTGCCAATCGCGATATGTCCAAAATCACGACAATTACGGAAATGTAGAATTTCTAAGATTCAAATTTACACTAGGAAAAGGAATGGGCGAAAGTGCATCGTGTAAATGAAAGACGCTTGGTGTTGCTGTTTTGTAATAAGCATATATTTGATAATCTCCCCGAATATTGGCGTTCTACTAACCTTCTTTCCATCCATCCGGGATGCGTTTCTTTTGATGCTTTTACAGTAGTATTATCTCTTAAGTAATTAATTACCATTCGTTAATTTTATTGACTTTTTTTTTTCTTTGTTTTTTTCTCAAATAGCTCCGTTAGGTCCGCCGTTTTCTAAAAGAGCGTGTAAATAGAGCTTGGCTCAGTGTATTATGATTTGTTTCAATTAAATGAACCCATAGCTAGCATAGAACGCTACTGACGATAACTAATACAGTAGCGATAAATAATGGTCTTGATATGCCAAAAATTATGATATCGTGAGTTTTCAGTGTAAAACAATTTGTCTTCATTTAGCTGGAAATATTTGCAATTCTAACCTTGAACGTCCTATCCTCCTACCTGTCCTACCTTAGTGGTTAGTGTTTCTATTCTTATGACGATATCCAAACAATAAATAACAATAAGGAGCAGTGGCTAGCGATGCTAAATATTTGAACTAATAAATGTATAATCAGTTTTTGTCAAAGCAGTGGCGAACGTCGAAAAAAGAAACGATTGAAGCAAAGTTACGCATCTGGTTGACATGACAAGATTATCCATTTTGTGGTAATAAAGTTTTGGTAATTCTGTTTCAGTAGCTTATGTCAAATATAGCTATCGGCCAGGATATTTTGTATTTGTGCGATGTTTGCCACTTTATGCATCGCCTAACAACCGCTGAACTCTGTTAAAACAGTGAAAACTTACTACAAAAATCCTGATTATGTAATAGGACAACAATTAACAAATTTCGTTCAAGAATGATATACGAGAAGAATAGAGAGAGAGAGAGAGAGAGAAAGAAAGAGAGAGAGAGCAAGCAAAGTAAGGAGCATTCAGGATATTATGAAAGTAAAAGCAGTCGAAGTCATTTAGTTATTACACGTAACATATCTATAATGTATAGCAAATTTTTTTTTGTATTTGCATGAACGATAAATGTGTTTGCCTTAGTTTCATTATTTCTTATATAAATAATTATAACGTTTGATAACATAGACAAGCCCATATACGAAACGACTAGTTTAAGAACTAGTTTGACTAAACTAGTTTTAAAGAATTGTTGTCTGCATATGTTGACCATCGCTTAAATACAATACAATAAGATATGTCATTGTATCATTCAACGTCGTGTTATATAATATTATTTAGATTTTATTAGATTTCTTTTGTACATACATATGTTCGCATGTATTCATGTATGTTTGCGTTTTGTCAAGGTGGTCAAGTCAATCTGGTCATCTACATGAAATTTTATTCAAATTTTGCATTTTTAATATACATTCTATCAATGTATTCGAATTATGACGACGAATGGTTCCATGACATTCTAAATACATTGACTTTATTATATAATAAGCATTTCTGAATGAACGTCGGATTGCTAGAGTTTGACTCGAAAAAAAAAAAAACAAAAAAATATGGCATTCAATGCCTTATCAAAATTTTATACCCAATTACTTAAAGATGATGTGTGTACAATGCTTTTACTATTCCCCTGATGAAGGAATTGAAATGAAATGAAATTTTCCATCGTTACGTTAACCATTTTCGGACTATGCAAAATTGCTTAAGAGCCGTGACTTGGCACACATTTCTCAATAAATTATTAGATTTGCATGTCTATGAGATTAAAAAATGGACGTGATCCACCTACAAATACCCTTGCTCCAGCTATGCATCTGAAATGACTTTGAAAATAACCCAAAGTGTTCAAAGGAAAGTTTAACTATTATTACTGTAAATGCCTGATGTCTGATGAGAAAATTTTTATAGCGCAAATAAGCGCTAATTTTGAGTCAAAACGTACAGGAAAATTATTGATAATCTAGAAAGTCTGGACAAGTTATGTTTTAAACAGTTATTTTATTTTGCCTCAACATCCAAGGTAAGATTCATGAGACACAAGATGGTCTTCTGCTTGCTTTATGCTATAACTTTGAAATACTTGTACATTCGTAAACGAATCGATTCAGAACGCACGTGTTGAGTAGTTCAATAAAATAGATTACGATATTTCAAAAAACAAAGTATTTTCATTCATTATCCTCGATGTCGCCAGTGCTGGTGCAGTGTCGGCTTAGTATTTGTTTTACAACGTAATTAAAATTTCTAAGAAAATTTATTCATTTTTTTTATTTAGACATGTAAAACAGACAGTTGAAAAAATCGAGCAAAAAAAAAAAAATCGTGTAAAAGATTGTATGTGATAGAAGAAGATACGAGATTCGCATAAAAAAAAAAAAAAAAAAAAAAAAAACAAATTAAGTACAAAAGTAACGCTTGATTATCCGGCAAGTAGTAATAGTTCGTTTCGATGACTAATATTGACGACTAACGTTTGCAATGGTCTCGATCGTATCCATTCGGCCATACGGCCACCTATAATGAAAAAGTTTGCCGCTGTTTTTATAATTTTTGTGAATTAATTCAAAATTCTTCTAAATTTTCGTATAGAAAATCGTTTGAAAAGCGACATTGGTGGTGGCGACATTTTAAAACTATTCAAGAATTGAAGGAAACAATTTATTTATCCGGTCAATTGCCGGTAGAGTTTGCTGTTAAAAAATATGAACTCTCTATAACTATTTATATGCACGTACATCGGACGGTAGATGTCGAACATGTACCTTAAAGTGGGTAAGCAATTTCGTCACTTGTTGAGAATGGAAGTAACATATGCAATATTCTTATTAATTATGCTTTTAGAAAATGCCTTTCATTGGTAGAAATAGTGTGAAGTAAATGCTTAATGTCCAATACTACAAAATTATTACAAAAACATATATGAACAGTGTAAGCATATACTTGAGCGAAAAGGGCGAATACCATAACATTATTATTATTTTTATTATTATTATTGGTTCTATTACCATTATTATATAATAATAATAATATTATTATTATTATTATTATTATAATTTTGTTGCTATTAATATTATTATTACTCTAATTATTACTACTATTATTACTTTCATCCTATTTATTATTATTTTTATTCTTATTATGTCCTGATTATTATTTATTTATTTATTATTATTATTATTGTTATTATTGTTTCTATTATCATTTTATTGTTGTTATTATTATTGTTATTATTATTATTATCATATCTATTATTATTATTATTACTACTGTTATTATTATTTATTTCTATTACTGTTATTATTATTATTATTATATAATAGTTTTACTATTACTATTACTATTATTCTTATCATCATTTTATTATTACTTCTATTATTATTTTATTATGTCCTGATTATTATTTATTTGTTTAGTATTATTTTTACTATTGTTATTATTATTATTATTACTTCTACTATTATTTTATTGTTATTATTATTATTATTATTTCTATTATTATTATTATTTTATTGTTATTATTATTATTATTACTTCTACTATTATTTTATTGTTATTATTATTATTATTTCTATTATTATCTTATTGTTATTATTATTATTATTATTAATATTATTATTATTATTTTTACTATTATTATTGCTATTATCATTATTATTATTACTTTTATTATTATCAATTTTAGTTTATTTTTACTTCGGTTGTGATTATTCTTTTATTATTATTTGATTATTATTATTCATTTATTTTTACTTATTATTATTACGATTATTATTATTATTATTATTATTATTGTTATTATTATTATAGGTTTTTTCTCATTTTTCATTTTTGCATATTAATGTAATATTCTATAGTTTATACTTACCATAGGTAATCATAAAAATCACAATTATAAATGTAGTGAACATTTTTTTATACATATCAAAAAACGATAAGCGGAAATAAATGAATAATCTTTTAGCAGTTAATGTTGCCGAAAATTTTTATAAAATTATTTAATTCACTTCCTTTGTTTGCGAGTAAATTTGCATACGCTGGCAGTCGACAATTAAGCAGGCAGTCCAGAGTTAATCGTTGTTTATTCCTATCGTTAATTTATTTCGAGATAATGAAAATTTTGACTACAACGCGAATTAAAAACACGTTTAAACAGTTATACGTTCCGTACTTGACTAAAATTTAATATTTGATTAAGGTTTGCAAAGAGAGCTTAACGTTTTTAACATTTATACATATATATATATAAGCATTAATAGAAACTTGCAGACTATATAGTAGACTATATTTTGTATTTTGTATTGAATCTAAATATTTAACAGTGCTAACCAACAAATAACACAAAAATATAAAAAAAAAATTTTAAATATTCATATCGCAGTACCCTACCCAAAAAAAAAAAAAAACTTTAAGTAACTTTTTGCCTGAGATTACAATGTAAAGCTTAGCTTACAACATGTTTGATTGAAAGTAAAAGCTATGCGCTCTCAGCTGCATGCTTGCGTGCATAAATTCACTTTCATGCGCTTAAGTTTAGCACTTTTAGTGCTATACGTTAACAGTGAAAGCTTAGCTAAGAAGCTGCGCATGCGTTTTTTTTTTTTTTTTTCATTTTTCATTTTTCTCTCTAGCGCTCATTCAAACCGCAACCTCAATATACACCGCGTACGTCTAGACAGGCGTTAATATGTTTGTCTGTCACATGCGGCAATAGGTCATATTAACTTGCTTGTTAAATGTAGTTTAGTTAAAAGCCATGTATACGTATTATTGCACAATCATTGGGTGTGCAGTGGTATGATTAAACTTCTTAATTTCATAATATTAGCTTTTATATATATATATGTGTGTGTGTGTGTGTATGTATTTGAAATTTGGAAAGAATGAATTTATATTTTATTTGTACTACACCCTCACTTCTGTTACGACATGACCCGAAATATCTGTCTAGGCAGGCATTCTTAAGCGATGATCGAGTTATTTAACACTTTCAAGTATAGTTTAAGTAAATTCAACTTTACTCGGGTCACACTAAAATATGTTTTAATTGTTTGCAAGTTGGTGAAAGAACAAAAATATATTAAAATTTTGTAACTTTAAGTTTGAGTTTATTTATTTAATCAAAGGGTTTGCGACATGCAGAAAGAAACTTCGCGTATCCTTATCCTATATAAAGTGCGTACATTCTTGATCAGTATCAAATTCTGAATTGATGTTTGCATGATTTTGTATAGTAAGCATTTTTACGATTCTAAAAACTTAATTTTATAACAAGATTGAAAGGCAATGGATCAAGTCGGTCCAGGTCTAGACTACCTACACTGGAACTGAGAATACTTTTGCTCTGAGGGAAATTGAATATTTTCCAGCCATTGAATATTTTCTAACCACGCTCCGTATATGAACCTCGAGCAGTTACATAAACGTAACGACACTCATCCCATATCAGGTTTTTTTTTTTTTTTTTCTTTATAGAAAAGTGGGCGTTATAAGAAATTTGCCCAGAGGCGATCAACATTTTCTCATTTGCTTGTTCTCTTATGTCCTTTTGTTGCGATGACAACATGCTTTTGGTTTGAGAGGATTAAAATGCGAACTAAACGTTCGCTAACGAACATCTATTGCTTATATATAACTATTTATTATGATAGTTGAACTGCAAATTATAAGCTTTATGTCGATGATTAGTTAGCGCACGTATTTGGCCCAAATAACAGAGTTTAAAGCGAAAACTTGTGCAATTTATTCAACCTTCACAACTGTTTGGATGTAAAAGCAGCCGCCTTAATACATGTCTTAAGTGAAAAAGTTTGACTGATACTAACGAAGAAACACGCCTGATAAAGACTGATAAATGCTTGCCTTAAGCTAAAGATATTATATTAGCTTTTGTCAATTTAACCGCTGGATAATGAATCGGGAGATTTATAAGTGTATGGTACCAGCGGAGAACGACAGCATTTGCATTTAATTCAAATTTGTTCGACCCATGGTAAGTTAACACGCACAGTATCTATAGTTTATGGAATGTTATATATTTTTTTGAATCCCCCTCCCCCCATCACCCCATCCAACAGTTACGATGTAACATTGTACTCTGACAGCAGCTGATAAATGTGCCCTTTTTAGACCCAACACTACCCTACGACTTTTCAAAATCGTTTGGCGAGGTCACTTGCAATCAAATACTTAAATAAAAATCCATATACTAGCGGAGAGTTGGATTTGCATATGTATACAATTAATTTTTATTAATTTTTATTAATTGTTTATTAGATGTTTTTCGATTTTTTTCCCAAACTCAGCTAATTTGTTTGTTTGTTATTTTAACGTGGCTCGCACACCGAAAGAACATATATAGGCCACTTCGTTTGCATTTTCATGATAATATAACAGACTTTTTACGAAATCAATTACATGCGACGCCTGCCCAATATATGGAAGCACCTATTCCAAATTTAGTAAATGTAATGTCCTTGCTAAGCATTTTATTATTCTTCATTTATTTTCGTCATAGAGTATTACAAATCAGATGTCGCTAGCATATAATGGCTTACTTTTCATGAGATCCCTTGTAATGCGGGTGATCTAAAAAGTGTTTGTTTCAAATGTGTCGCAGTTTTTTCTCGACATTCCAATTCAATTCCTATTCAATTCGTTTTTGGGCCAAAACATGTTTGTGTAACGAATTTCGCCGAAATACCTCAGATTCCGCGGAGGGACAGGCAGAGAAACGTTCTTGAATCGATTCAGGAAATGATGCCGATTTGATTCGCATCATAATAAATGCATCTGCTTAAAATCATCTAGGCGTGACTCTTATATCATGCGCTCTGTACCATGAATATATCAATGAAAAATGTTAGAATCTTTTAACTCTTCCATCTCGTGGTATTGTCTTTCGAACTGATCAAATCGCTTTTATTAATCCGCGATGAGTCAACGACTTTCAATAAATGTTGTTAAGAATTTCCATTCATCAAAAGTCGACAACATGACAACTAACATGAGTAGCCGGATAGATAGAAATCGCGGCTACCAAGTTTATATTCCCGGGTTCAAATATTACTTTTGTCGTAGTTACAATGATTGCTCAGCTGACAAAGGCGCAGTCTATTGGTCTTTTCTCACTTCTTTCCGATCATCATCGCATTACACGTATGGGGGACATTCCCTGAGTAAAAAAAAAAATAAGGCTTTGTACATACATACAATTTTAAGCATTTCAAGTAAAGCTTTCTGTGTATTAAGTATCCGGATTAATAATAATGAAAAAGAATTATTCAGCAAAACTAATTTTTTGGGTAGTAAGAGCAGTCATCGTCAGTGCTTTGCTTCTCTTAGTGATTTTTTTCATCATTACTTGGTGGTTTTATTAATAATTCACATTTTATCCAGACTATTGAACTCAGTTTCTTTTACGAGTCTTATGCGATTGTGACTTGAACGGTTCACCATTTTTCAATTTTCACGATTTTCATCCAGCAACGCTTAACCACCGCTAAAGGATGAGGATATACTTAGTTTGATTGGATAATGTTTGCAAAAACCTAAAAGATGCGTAGAGATCCTTCTCAAATATACATAGATTGAATCGATTTATTCACGTCTGTCCATCTAGGCGTGACAAAAATTAAAATGTTTACTTCAAATTTGATGGGAACGTTAAAAATGCATGCAAGCAAACCCTTATTAAAAATGGATCCGATTGGTTAAAGGATACAGGGTGTGGTAAAAGATTCGACCTCAATCGAATATGATTTTCTTACTTATTTCAAATGTAAAGAATTGAGTAAATAAAATGTTAAATGTGGTCCCTATTTACGCATAAAGTTACAGCTTTCTCGACCAAATGCCGTGATTTTGCGAAGTCCAGCAACATAAATTGCAATAGACGAATAAGCGCAAGTCATTGCTCGGATAGACACCTATTCTCATAGGATATGTATCCATCCAAAAGTATTAAAGTAAGCAATTTTACACTGACGACATGCCAAGAAAAGTCGCTAAAGTCGCTACATTTCAAAATATATATATATAGTTATTTTCTCTAAAAATCTTACTATTACTTGAGACTGTTGAACATGAAAAGCATCTAAATCCATTCTAAATTTGATTACTTGTTGGCCTTGCTTGACGTGTAAGCAATTCTGTATTAAAGAAAGAAAGCGTTTTACATGCATGACGTTACTTGAAGTATTGTTGAAATCATATATACATATATATATATATATATAAATATATATGTTTCACATATGTGTCACTAATTGCTGGCATAAAGAATTTAACCTTCAACAGATCAATGCCGTCGTCTAAGCGATAGTATATTTGTACACTTGCAGAGCGTAATGGTGCAATGGTGGTTGGTGTTGCTGTTGAAACTGATCGTTAATCGAGGTGGATCTCTCGGAGCGCATCGTTAAAAGGTAACGTAACGTACACTATTAAGGATGGTGATAGCATTCGCCATTCCATTAAGGATTAAAAGCATCTTATGATAGATTGAAAAGTCAATAATTTACAAGATAACTTTTAATTTTATGATAACTGTCGTCGCATACAAGCAAACGTACGTGGTAATGAAAAGTGAATGATTTCTAATCGCAATTACGCCTTATTTAATATTTATGCAATAGAATTAAACGAGAAGTATTATTAAATATGTAACGCGCAATGATTATATATTTAGCGGAGAAAAACAGTAAAACAGTATTTGAATCTTAAGTATAGAAAATCGATATCGATATAATAATAAAGTTGGGAATTTTATTGAATCATATATGAAAGTACGTCTTAAGTGTAGATTTTTATGTAAATTAAATTTTATATAATTATTAATTATAATAAATTTTTATATAATTATTAGAATTAATATTGGAAATCTTAAAGCATTTCTATTCAACACATAATCACATAATATTTACATGCAAATCATTTAATCGACTGAGACAATAGAATTCATTTCCCGTTCAAAGGCTTAAGGCACAAATTATAAATGAGTTAGAAGTGTCGTATTGGATTAACGATGATATATTTTAAGCATCGTTTCAACTTTTACATACTATAGGAATACTCCTAAATGACTATATTTTGGAAAAATATAAAGAAAAAAAAAAAAAAAAAAAAAAATTTAAAAAATTAAAAAAATAAAAAAAAAATAAAAAAAAACAAATTCAATTCAATTAAAATGAAACATTTTTTAAATGTGAACAACACACACTATGATTTACACAGCAGCCCCGTTGTCACACTCGACAATAAATGAAGAGTTTACTCTTTATTGTTTCTTATCGTCGGTATCCTTGTACCAATCTTCGCAGCCAGGCACATTTTCAGGAGCATCGCACATTTCGGTTTCTTCATTGAAGACTTCACCAAGCTGACAGCCCAAGTCACGTGGATCCTCGCCATTTAAACATGCGTAGAATTTTTGACAATCTGTGGGATGGGCGTATTTTGGATGTGTCACAACTTGACCGCGCGCATCAGTTTTCGGTTGATCTTTCGGGCATGAAAAACCACTCGCCGATTTTTCTATTGCAAAAAAATATATAATTAAAATAATTCTTCATGATCATGCGCATTATTCATTGCACATTGAAACTTACTCTCGACAATGCCGCAACCTTCACGCTTAGCTGTATCTGGCCATACGCAAGTGCCGCTATACTCATCGAAATGTAATCCCACGGTACATTTCATTTCGAGTGCATCGCCATCGATGCAATTGTAAAAGATATCGCATACGGCTGCATCTGGATGAGCATAGAAACCATTTTTGCGTGGACAAAATTTCGTTGATTTTGGAGGCTCTACAATTTATTCATTTCATATTAATCGTTACTTTCTTTTTCTCTAATTATTAAATAAATATCTCTTAGCTTGCGGAAATTGCAATTACGATGAAAAGAAGGAAATAATTTGCATAAACTTCCGTCTCTCTCGGTTAATCGTTTTCATCAACTTACGTAATTCGATACGATCACCGCAATCCACATTGAAAGGTTGTTCACACTTATTAATACGACGTATCAATGGATCAAATACTAATCCATCAGGGCATAGTTTCTCTTTAGCGACGCCGTCATCACATTCATAATATTTATCGCATTGAATATCGTCCTCAAATTGTCCATTCGGTTTCGGACATTTAAATTGAGCATCTATGAAAGAATTGAAAAGCAAAAGTTTCTCTCTTTCTCTTATCATTGATGAAATATTTAAAATACTATTAAGTGTATAGGGCTTTTGCTCCTTTTCCTGCACGCGGAAATTACAGTTTATTAAAATTGAAAGCGAAAAACCAAATTTTTTTTTTTTTATTTTTTTTTTTTACTATTCAACTTAGTCCAATATATCTGTATATGCATATAGAGATAGATATATGTTATACACAATATATTATGTGTATATACAAGGCCTTAGGGAAAATCATATTTTTTCAAATATATTTGTTTCGTTCATTCTATTGGTATCTATGCGTACACACATTTTACATTAGGAATTATCGCATATGCACGAATCTTTAATTAAGTAAATTGGCTACAAAAATTTAGACATAAATAGCAAGATGGCAGATGGCAGATGGCTTGTCCACACACGTTAGGGAAATATGTTTGGGTGTGCATTTGTCAGGACTCATCTGTGGGTGTCTTGTGAAAACGGAAAAAAAGATTGAGTATCGGTTTGAATGGTTATAATATATGCTTAAACAACACGAAGACGACTTGGACGCTGTATACGGGGACACGGCGTATGCAGTCAGTGGCCGTACCCGCTCATGTCTAACGCAATCAAAAGCAAAAACATTGACCAAGTTTACTTAAAAGAAATATAGCGAAGGATATGGATTTGTCCAAGTAACATGTCCCAAGAACATGTTCAGTATATACGAAATTATAATTTAGGCTTTGAAGAGCTGAAGAAGGTACGTTTAGTGCTGTGTTTACTTGCATTGGAGTAAATGTAGCAACATTATGTCATGGGTAGAATGAAAAAATTGCATGAATTAACTTTCGAAGTGAAAATCCATCTACCGTACTCTCCATATGTGGCCTCAATCGATTATTTCAAGGGAAATGTTAGAAAAGCATTCGATCGATTGTATTGCTATTAAAGGAGACTGACTCTATGATCTACGAATCAATCTGTATTTAAATTAAATTAAAAAATTTAAATAGAAAAATGTAAAAAAAAAAAAAAAAAAAAATATTTTTTTTAATTACGTCAAAGCACAATTTGTTCTTACATTGTTATCTATCGGAATCTATTAAATGCTTGGGAGATAGGTTTGCGCTTTGAGATGACTAATGCACGTGTCTATGATATGTATTGATGGACAACAGATGGTAAACATAGATTGACTTTATAAACATTAGTTGAACGTTTTTCGAATCCGATATTAAATTGCATTATAAATGGTTACCTCTCTGCAATTAACTTATGTAACGAAAACAAAGCCGAATTAATTTATGTCGAATTTTCTACTAACACACACTAACACTAAGATAATAAATTGGGAAATATTTTCATAAATATGGGCATAAGTATGCTCCTTTGTAAGCTGATCAAGGATCATTTTCATTTATGCATTGAAATAGTTCTCGTTGATGATTCAAATTTATCTGCCATGTATTGTAAGTTGTAACTATTTTATCTATTGCGAGTATCGTCATTGGTGAATTTAGTCCATTTTCCTTTCCGAATGTAATTCAATTTCGTTATTTCATATTTTATCATTTTATGTTACTATATATAAAAGCGTTTCAACAATAAACGAGAATCCAACAACAAACAGAGAGGCGTTAGGGTACCTTTTTGCGAATATATATATAGAGATGATTATGCTATCCCTGACGGTGTTATACTGAGGTGTCATAAACAGAGTTACAAAATCCCATCTTACAGTGTTGGGTATAAAAAAATCGCAATTTCTTGTGAAAATAATGACAATAAAGATAAAGTTTTACTTTAACAGATATTCTACACATCTACACATTACATGCAGTATGCATGTAAATTAATGATATACTAACGATTTTTGTACATTTTCCTAAGGTGCATGTATAGGTTTATATATGTATTAGGTTTTATGTTGGTACAAGAACATCTTTTTGCACGTGCTTTGGTGTTTTCCCCGTATGAACGGCAGAATAAGATATTTTGGATAAAATGCACGCAATATACTTTTGACCTTTAAGTCAACTTACATTTGTGACGTTTACGACTCAAGAAACTTTCCAGTATCGCTTGCTAAGTATTACATTCACTACTATAAAGTTGATGCTGCGAATCATGGTCACGGATGGAGATGATAACTAGGATAGATCAATGGCCTTTTAGATGCCAAAAAACACTAGAGGCCCATAACTTTGAAGAGTGAAAGTTTTTCAAGAAGAGTTTTAGACGAAAGTCGAAAAAATGAGAAGAGAAACGTTATGGCAATTGTGCGATTTAAAGCTAAAAAGCTTAAGTAGAAAAACTGATATCAAATTTGGTAGAAATATTTACTTGAGTCATTTTAAGGTTACATGCAATACATGTATAGATGATATTCATAATTAGTCAAAAGCTGTTGTGATTATTAAAGTGGCGGTTATTTAAAATTCATCTCACTGAGTCTAAATTTTAAGACAGACATCTGAAAGGCTAGTCGTAAGAACTTTATTTTTGGAATTTGAGAGCATCGTGAAGACATGATATGTGGGTATAAGGTTAACTCTTTTTTCGATTTGCACTTAACAATAAGTCGTAACCTGTCCGATCAAGTACATTATGTCAAATATTTTACATGTTATGCGTTATCTTCATGTTAATCCTTTTTCTTAAGGTATTCACATTTTCAATTTTGAGAAAATTCGAAAAAGTCGATTGTTTTTGTTAAAGAAATAGAAGAAAACATAAAAGGCAAACATTTGAGATATATTTCACAATCGAATTAAATATCTGATCGCTGTCTATATTAGTTGCTAATAATTGGATTATATATAAATATCACGAGCATACGCTAAATGATGTTTAATTACAATTAAAATACATTCGTGCTGTATGTAACGCCTTCGAGCGCTTAAAAAAAATATAAAAAATAAATGGATAAACATACGAATGAAATAAATTTCTTAACTGATATTAATTAAAAAAGATAGTTAACGGGCGGTAATGAATGCTTTTATGTATATGAAAGGAGTGGAATTGAATATTAATACAAAGAGAGAGAGAGAGAGAGAGAGAGAGAGAGAAAGAGAGTTGGTAATGGTATGTTTACACACCCATATGCATATGCATTAAATAAAAAAAAAAAAAAAAAAACCGCTATGTTATTTTACAATTGCATAACAACAACTATCACACAAGAAGCAAACAAATTTAAGAAAACAACAAAAGACTCAAACAACACACAACTTTTAACCGAACACGTAACCAGAAATCAATTTATAATAAAGACCACGATAGTGTACGTAAAACAAATAATATAATAAAATAAAAACAAAAACAACTATTTACGTTATTGTAAACAGACTCTCAACGTATATAATAATTGCTGGGATTTGGTGTGGCTGGAATTTGCCTACGTGTGCCTGCCTGCCTGCTAGCCTGCCTTTGTGTCTACGTAACTGCGTGTGTGTGTGTGTGTGTGTGTGTGTGTGTTGTGTGCATATATTTTCGATTGCTTTGCCAAGTAAGTGCACTATGGCTATGGAAATGTTATTACGGAATGTGTGTTAGTATGCATAACCGGTTCGAAATGTTATCGCTTTTTAATGCGAAATGTTATCTTTTGAACTACGATATTTAAATGTTTGCCGACACAAATACACATATTTATTTATAAATGTAAATGTATGGATTTCCAAGTAAATAACCTTTAAAGTGAATGGCTTTTTACTGCTTAACAACACGTACGAAAAAAGGGAATAATTTTAATATTAATTTAAGATAAATATTTTCTATATATATATATATACATATTATGTGCGGACGATGAGACCTTTGTGCAATCTTTAAAAAATTATTATGTTCGTCTTTATGTTTTTAATTTTTTTTTTTTTTTTTTTTTGTTTTTTTTTTAGCATTTCTTTTTTACTCCTACATAATGGTACATATGGTCAACGCAGATTGACATACATGCCTACATACATATATAAATATATATATATTTAGTTCGAATGTCATGTTTATCTCTAGCTTTATTATGTTAAACGAGGCCAATGCCAATTTATATGATAATTATCATTTCGCTGTTTTCCGATAAGATTTTCTCGTTATACAAGTTATTTCTTATGGTGATTTTCTTGCTTGATATGGAAGAGATGAACTTTATGGTAGTAGACTGGTTTTAATTTACAAAATATGCACATTTCTTTTAAAACTAGGATAAAAGCAATCAGATAACAAAATCACTAAAACTTTTCGTAATTCATTTAATTAATTCCCAGCCTTTGCATCACCTCTCACCTCAAGTTACATTACAATACATCACAGTAAGATTTTTCCTAATCTCTGTCAAGTTCAAAGCATTCCAGTTCAATATAGTTTAGTATAGTATAGTAAAGAAATAATGTCTTCAAAAAAAAAAAAAAAAAAAAAAAGTTTTATAGCCAAGCAAGATCTTTCACTATCGAACACCTTACACTCCTCTTGCCAAGGATTAACAAGAATTATACTTTGTTGGCTATTTTGATGAGGAGACTTAGAGGAAGGAACGAAATCAGCCAATCAGCCAACCAGCCAACGTGATCGAAATTTGTCGGAAAATGTATTTAACGACAATAAATAAATCAATTTTTATTTCTTGTGATAGCGATTATACGGTAGAGGCTTGAAAAAATATCTCCATTTGGTACAAACTTTCGACATACATTCAAAACGTCAAACTGCTAGTTTCGATCGATTTGCATCGATAACTACGAACGACGGCAAGTGATCTAAGCAATTTTCAATAGCGTACTCGCCTCCGAGTCAAAATGTGTCAACAGATCAAATTGCATCAAAGTATTTCAATGTCTGACTTCTGGAATGAATACATGAATTATAAAAACGGCGGGCGTTAGATAGATGGACGGACAGACAGGCTTAAATCGATTCAGAAAATGAATTTGAATCGATCGGTTTAATGAAAACTGCATGAAGCTTGATGTCTTAAGCACTTCATTGTGTTGCGTACGTCTTTACAAACCTAACATACCATTACCACAAGTGGTGTAAAGTGTATATCTATAATTCAAATCAGGAATTCCCAATGCGGAGCATCATCTTGCCTTAATGAACAGTATGGCAAGGAATTGTTTGTGAAGTTCTCGTATGATTGACAAAAAATAGAACGGCAGCCTTCTTTACCACTACGATCTACTAGCACGTGATCCTACCTTCGTTCACGTTAAACTATTGCCGTCAAAATTTGAATGTCCTTAATCAATATTGTGGATCATTTCCATTCAATACGGCTCGTATTTAGTTCTAAGTAGATAAGTTTTAGATAAACATTAGGCCAGATGTAGATGCTTATCCCTACAAATTTCCTGATTTCCTTTGGAGATAATTGTTTTAAAGAACCTTAAACATCTTCCCATCCGGAGAATCTCTAATGCCCTATCATTATTACAAAGCAAAAGCAAAGCAAAAACCAATTTTCTAAACGAAAGGTCATAACAAAATAGGCGCGGAAACCGGCTCTTTCCGTTTTAGGAATAAAGACAAACAAAACCTTCTTCGAGAATTTCGGTCTAGGTATGCATGTTATTAAGTGTTTCAATTGGTAGCAACGGTTATAAATTATAGTAAGTTTTTTTTTTTTTTTTTTCTTTATAAATCCTGGCACGCCAGGCAAAATTTTCAACGAATTTTCCCATAAATTTCCCTCAACCTAATCGTAATCTTCTTTTACATTTATCTTCTAAAAAATAATTTTTTTATGCTTTACACCTTTCGTGATTTGTGAGGATGTCTTCAACGTCCAGAAAGAATTGAGATGGAGCCAGCTTTTATTACAAAATCTTGTCTGTCCGTCTCGTTGTTCTTGTATTAAGCCGTAACAGATCGTAATGTCTTGGCTTAAGACGGAATGCTATTGAAAGTGGTTGGGATCGGACTACTATTTCGATTATTCTCCATGTAAGGACTTATTTTGAAAAGTCGTTTTATGAATAATTGCTGGTTGGGTTAGGGTATTCAAAATTTATTTATTTTGCAAATTCAGTTTGGAATATATTTCTGGGATCAATTTACTCTACAGAATATGTAACATGTGAAGTATATCTAAAATACACAGGATATATATAGTATATATATATTTAATTAATTTTTACTTCGTTTTTAAGATTTACTTTGCTTCTTTGCATGATTTCTTCCGATCGATCTACACAAGACATCCGAAACGAATTAACCTAAGGTGTCTTATTTATTTTGCAGAAATAACTTCCTTTCAGTTCAGATCGCTCTCGAAACACGCCACTTATTACACAAAACATTCGTCAGTTGATCGCTGGCCGTCATTGATATAAAATGTAATGTTTTTGAACTATAAAAATAGTACAATGTAGAGTACAATTTTTTACTATATAGTGAAGTTAAGCCGTTAGCCTTAAATGCTAATGCTTTCTCTAACTATTACTAATAGTAATAGTGATAGTAATAATGATAGTAAAGCCAAAATCCAAAACTGATTTCAATCTTCATTTTTTTTTTTTTTTTTTTTTTACAGCATAGTGAACCTGTTAGGTTTGCTAAATGTGTGTATGGGCATGTAAAATATGCACCGAAAGTAGTATGAAGTAATATGTAAATGTGAATATTGAAATTGATTTGAGTGTAACTGCCACTCTGTCTCTTTTTCTTGTTTATCGCTTCATTGAAATCCTGATGAAGATTTTTAAGCTTTCGTTCACAAAAACAAATTTGGATCTTAGTATATTTCTGAGATTAATATCGAGAATCATCGAAAGTGGTCTATGCGTCTGTCAACACCCAACGAAAAAATATTAATTTTCTCCTTTTTTTTTTTGTCCCTCTAAATTATAGACTTTTTAATTTGGAGTTTTAATCTGGACCTTAGTGCTTTTTACCATAAAATTTCTGCAACAAATTCGAAAAACATTGAAAATTGAATTAATCGTTCACAAACACTTCAATTATGGGTCTTAGTTAAGATAATCATGTTCAGGGATTAAATTTATGATTTGCAATATACTTGTGTGCGTGCGAGATACGATCGATTTATCGAATTAAAAGTCTTTGATTCTATCTGCTCATATTAGTGCTGGATGCAATCAGATTCAATGAACAGACTTATCATGTGCTTATTATAATTTCAAATGTTCCTCACCTTACGTATGTATATTAGGAATAAACTGACAAAATTTGTACCTAAACTTTTTATGATTTCACAATGTCAAGTCAGATGATATCGCATATTATATGTCACGTAAAAGGTAAAACGCCTATGCAAGGTATACATTTAAATAATACCGTGGATCATATGAAAATCACTTGAAATTTGATCGCATTAATTAGTGTCAATATATTAAGCATAAAATTTTTAAGCCCTTTTTCTCATCACTTATGCGAAGAAGATACATTTAAAAAAATAAACCGGTCTCATGGGCAAATTAATGCTTAGATATGCACACACACACACACTCGCGCATTTGCAATATAGATTTGCGTATTCGGGCACTATGACCGGTCAGTAGTCATTAAAGAAAACAATGTGTTTCCTTATCATAAATCTCGTATTAGATTTGATAATCCAGATTAATAGTGACAATAAAAGTCTTCAGCTAAAAATGTCCTTGCAAAGGAAAATATATCTTGTGACTTAGGATGGACGTCGTTCTAAAAGAAAGTTTGCGAAAATTACAAAGAAAAAAATGGTCTATGACTTGTGACGTGGCTTAGACTGCGGTCGTGAATCTTTCATAATTTATTTGGACTATATATACGGTTTCTGAAAGAGTGCAAACAACATTTTATGCGTAAAAATTACAAAGATCAGAAAATGAGGATCACGTCTATGCTAGAAATTATTGGTTGAATAACATACAATTATGGATAGTATTAGTGTAGGCAAAATGCTTCTTCTATGCAAAAGAATTGGAGAGAGACAGAGACCGAGACTCAGTAATTACTTAATATACGGAAATGCGATCTTCATGAAATGCCATTTTCGAGAATTCCATGAAAAATTTTAAAACCGAACGATTGTCTTATATTGACTTAAAAAATCATAACAAAGGCAAATATTGACTTTTCTTTCTTCGATTTATTAATGAGATAATGAACTTACGGATATATCAAAACAGATAATAAAATTAACTATGTTTTCACGAGAAAATTTATACCTTAACTCGGGGTTGAAAAAATCGACAAGTTAAAGGAATGAAAGTGAGTTTAGTAATTTGCGCGACTCCTTACAATTGCACGATGTAACAATTTTAAAATCTTTACGGATAAGAATTGCGAGAACATAACAGAAAAAAAAATTTGTTAAAAAGGAAAAAAAAAAAAATATCGAACAAATCCAAATATCTTACATTGTTTGAATTTAAGCTGACTTAAGGACAAACAATGAAAACATTTTTTTGTGCATATTTTTTTTATTTATTTGTTTATTTTTTTTTATATAAAATCTAAAATTTTTATACTCGATCTTCTCTTACTCTTTTTAATAAAAAAAGAAAGAAAAAAAAAATAAATAAATAAAAGATGAGAAATCTGATTAAATGATCAAAGATCATACATATATGGATCGGCTATTCTGTTTACATATTTAATATTTATTTATATAATTTGCAAATTCAACCAATGCAAACACGCATTCATTTAACAATTCGCAAACCAAGATAGTCAAGATATTAAAAAGTAAAGTTAATCTTCTATTTCACTTTTCAATAAATATCCTGCAATAAAGTAATAAATATTTATAAATAATTATTAAAAAAAATAAAAAAATATTTTTTTTTTATATTTTTTTTTTTTTTTTTTTTTTTTTTCATACAATTATTAAAGAGCAAAAAGGAAAATATATATACATATATATATATACATATATATATTATTTCAAACACTCACTGGCAGAGGCAAAGAATGCAGCGACAAAAATGGTGTACACAGTGAACTGACTCATTATGATATGCGATTATTTCGTACACTGTTCAAGTTACAAAAAAAAAAAAAAAACAATAAAAATAATCCTTAAAAAAATGCACTTAATTTGCTGAGCAAAGAGTGTAGCGTTCAAAAAGAAAAAAAAAAGATAATGATAAGAAAAAGATATTTAAAAAAAAAAAGAGCTGATGTATTGCACACGTCAACGTACGACTTAACTGAGCAATAGTTAAAGTTAAACTATCATCAAAACGCATGCGGCTCTTACTTTTCAAGACTTGAACAATTCGAGTCGTCTGACACGCATGCGCATAAATAAAACTACAGCCATACCGGATTATTAATTGTTGTCGTTGCTGTTGCTTTTGTGATTGGTAACTAGTTAAGGTCTTGCTTTTATTTGTTGCTTTTTTTTTTTTTTTTGGTCGGTTGCCCAAGAAGACGAAAGCTTACTAAACCTGTCATTCCGCTTGTAACATATTGTTGTTAATAGAATTATAAAATAAAAATTCTAATTCTGTTTTAATCACGAATCTCTCTATTCCATTAATTTAAGTATAGGGAATAATGTCAAGCGATAGCAAAAATTGGGACATTCATTCATTCATTTATTAATATTGGGTTGGCAAGAAAAATTTCTCAATATTCTTCTCTCTCTCTCTCTCTCTCTCTCTCTCTCTCTCTCTCTCTCTCTCACTCTCTCTCTCTCTCTCTCGATTGTATTTTATTTATATTAGAGGACAATGAACGAGAAGAAAAGGCCACATTAAAATTAACCGAATACTCTTTCATGCGGATATGGTGGAATGAGATGTTGAGTGTCTAGCGTACGCCCTAAAACCATTTTATGTTTGTCTATTTAATTTTCTTTTTTCGCTTTTTGCTTTTTTTCAATACAGAAAATACAGAAATTTGTTAAAAAGTCAACTGCATTAGCTTTATGCAAATCATGCCCATATATATATGTTTATGTATATACAGCCGATAATAACATCAACCTCGCATATATAACGCATAAATCGCCACTGCCGGGTTAATAAGGAAAAAAGTACTTATGGAAGTCACGTTTACGGTATGTTTTTAAGTACAACGTTTTTTTTTTTCTAATTTTTCTTTTTCTAATAATAGAGAAAGCCATTTGAATCCGCAATGGACTGAATTTTCGATATTCAACATTTTAGTTGAAAAATATTTGTTAGTTAAATTTAAAATAATAACTCAAGCTTGAATATAAAGAAAATGATATTTCTAAGCATCGACATACGAATTCTTGACATAAAATTGAGCTTAAAGCATTTGATTACATTCAATGAAAAATTGAAGAAATTTCATCCATTTATCTTCTTAGCAGGTATAATCGAAAATACTTCCCAAAACTTTTTCAATTAAATTTTCATAAATAATCAACTTACGCTGCAAAAGCAGACGTGACGTATGAGTAATTGGGATATATAAAAAAAATAAATAAATAAATAAAAAATGAAAATTTGTCCTTTTGTTTTAAGGCATCTTCTCATTAGATTTGCTTTCGTTCAAAATTTCGAACTTTTTCTGCGCACTCAACTTCTTCGAAATACAAAATACACAGCATCGGGTGTCGGCAATTTTCTTATTAACAAAACCGATGATTCAGAATTTACATTAGTCACTAAACATGATCTTGTCCTCGTCACGTTACTTATTGCTCAGGCTTTAGCGAATGGATACAAACACTTCAAACACTTCTCTAGTCAATATGGGAAACGCACACAGACGCAATACTCCTTCCCTTCTTATATCGATTTAGGTGTCGGCAAGAACGATCAAAAATACAATTTTTTTTTTTTAAAAAGGCTTTCGTTGTTGACTTTGTTAGGATAACAGTAACGATCAAAATCAAATTTTAATAAAAAAATTAACAAAAAATTTCCGGAAGTCCTTTGTTCCATGATCGATTAATAGATTTTGGAAAGTTAAAAAGTCAAAAGGAAATCAGTAGAGGAGCAAAGAAGAATCGGGCAGCCCGTAGGAAAAAGACCGCATAGAGTAAAAATAAGAAGAGCTCCAAAGCAATGTACAATGCCTGAAATGGTAAATTTTCAACAAAACACGACCCTTTTTAAATGGAGCTGTCAGGCTGTTTTATAAGCATTTTTTTTTTTTTTTTTTTTTTTTTAGAATTTTAAAATAAACCATTTGTATGCAGATCTTGACTATCGTTTAGCATTGCTTCAAAATTTTATGATACGAAATGATATGAAAATTAATGAAAAAGAGATGACAACAGTAAAAGTTTCTATATTCACATAACAATTAATATATTATTGTTAATCAAGAGCTTAAGAAAAAAAAAAAAAAGAAGAAACAATTATTCGCCTTTATCAATTATATTTTCTGTCTCTTCCGCTTGTTTTACAACCGGTGGCACGTCATCGGTTGACACTCGTGAAGTTATGTCGACAGTTTGCAGAAGCTCTGCATTATATCCGAAACCCCAATTACATTCATTCAATGTACCATGAATGTCACGCATCGTATTATACCAATATACGCGTTCGGTATTGCCACCTAACGATTTGTCTAAATTCATGCGACGCATACCGCCGCGTTCCAAAAATTCGGCATAGTCGATATGATCGAAATCTTCGAAAAGTTCGAATCTTTCATTCGCTTCGGCTTGAATTTCTGCGAACGAATCGGCCGTTTTCATAATTTTCGCCACAGACGATTGTATCATATCGTTTCGCTGTAAATCGGGTATTTCTTCGGGATGAATGCGAAGTCGTACGTTAGCTACTTCGCTAGCAACATTACTCAGAACTTCAATTAGTGCCGCCTTTTTGGCCGCTTCATAGGCTAAACGTCGTTTCTCTAATTGCGTCTCCTCTTTTAATTGTTGTTCGTTGACTCGCTTACGTGTCATTAAAATACTCATCAAACGATTCAGATTAAGTTCATACCATTGATGCTTCATGCGTTCGGTATAGGATAAATTTTGCGCGGGCATTTTTTCGCTATAAAAAAAGATATGCTTTTTTTTAAATTTTAAAATTTCATAGGTTCTCTAATACCTTACATCCCAATAAAGTTCAACGCCCGATCATATCATATTATCATATAAAAGATGCAAGACATTAGAAAACCATAACTATATTTGCATTTTACATATCGTACATACTTTTGACCGGACTGATCTTTTTTTGTAGTAATCATAGTCTCTTTCTCGATACGTTCCATTTCCCTATGTGCTTCAAGTTCTGCTTGTCGTTTACTTTCAATGAACTCTTTATTCTTTTCATAAAATTTCAGCTCCCAGGCTTGTATCGCCTTTTTGCGAGACTCCTCCTTTGTAATATAATCTTTAAAATCCTATATCGCGATAATTTCAATTCATTATAAACTGTCTGTTTAAGCAATCACGTATATAGTACCGAAAGAGTGCTTGGTTGATATAAGACCTTCGGTAATTTGACCATACGCAAGCTGCTATTATAATCGCCAATGCCTAATAGCTTCTCGGGCTCCAGTGGACGATGTTCGCAAATGTTGGTAACAATGCCACCACCAAGCACATCATTAAGGCAAGCATCATCATCCCGTGCTAACGTTTTAAAAAAGATGCAGATAAGAAAGCTATTTTTTTACCTTTGCGACAAAACTTGCGCGTATAGAAAACGCCTTAAAAATGTGTCCATATAGCAGGTGTGATCAGAAGTGAGACAACTTACATAATATACTCCAAGCTTCCAGACCACCGTCGATTCGTGTTAGAAAGAGAACGGAAGCACAAGATTCACTCCAAGCCACTGCGGTCAATTCGTGTTTGCGTTTTCGCCAAAAAATTGGAGAGTAATTGTAACTCTCCTTCCAAACCGCAAAAACAGTTCGCCCAATTGAAACAAATATAAACGGATAGAAAGGATTTTTCTTCATTGCCACAATTGGTCCGTCGTGGACCCGGGCAAAGTGTATTGACGTATTAAGTACTTCTCGACCTTCGGCTTCAGCATACAAGCCTTGCCAATTAAGACGTTCTATGTGTCCGTAAAGAGAAGACATCACTAACGATTGATGCATATCCGGCGGATCTATGGCCTGAAGTTCCGTACGATAATTGTAAGGATTCTTACGCGCTTTGCTTGAATCCGCTACAATACATTTAAAAACAGATGTATCTGCTATGATTGCTGTAACCGGCTCGGCAAAAACTATAGTAAATATGGGTACCAATAGTTTGCCTTTATAAGCTGATTCACTTTGTGCGAGGGCTTTCGGCAAATCTCTGCGTGCAGCCGTGTTTGATGCTTTTCTTCCGCTTTGAGCGTCAAGATTCCAAAACGATATTGTACCATCTGTAGAACATGTCATGAAATATCGATATCTGACTTTTGGATCTGGATCCATATACACTTTGCCAAACGAATTGACAAAAACGCGCTTCCCTAACCAATAGATGCCGGTTATAGCGCCTTTCTGTGAAGTTTCCAATTTCGAAATAGTCGCCGGAGAAACAATCATATCCTCGTCCACTTGTATTGTCCACTTAAGAAAATCTCCAATTATAACACGATATTTCGTTTGAGCCGATGTTAAAGTTTCCTGATAATCTAATTTCTCGGCACGATTTTGCAGATCCCAAACAACAAGTTGACCATTACTGGCCCCACCAAACAGTAAGTTTGTGTCAGTTGGGCAAAATGATAGACATGTTATTTCCAGCGGCGACTCAAATTCCAATTTATAATTTAGATTATCATTAAAACTCCACATTAATATGGGATTTGGTTCCAAAACAGCTTGCTGCACATAATCTACTTTCCTGTGAACTAACTCGAAAAAACATAACGCATTCTAAAATATTAATTATGAAACTCATATATATTTATTATATCGTTTCAGTACCCGATTCAATGGTCGCCGGCGTGCTAAATGTATATGATGTGACAATGAGGCCCGCAAGAGCTGGATACCAATCGAATCCACAGACATATCGACGATTACTTTTTGAAATGTTGGCAAAGCACAATGTCTCCTCCAGATAAGGCGTAGTGTAATGCATAATACATGATTCGGTTAAAAGTGGGTAATCGTTACTGTAAATATAAAAAATTGCATAAATTGTTTATGACTTTTTCATTAAGATTTTCATAAGCCAATTGAGTCGCTTTGCGCCGTAAGAGATCGTGGCAAACGATAAACTTGAACTTAATGATTTGGAAGACTCTCAAAATATATCTTAAATATTTAATATTCACACAATATGACATACCCTTTTCTTTCTTTAGTAAAGAATAATAGTCGCCTTCACGACTTTTGAAAATAGACTTTATAGAGAGAATCAAAACGATTCGCAAAAGCCAATCAATTTCTTTGAGAATGAAGTCGTTTGCGAAATTGTGAGTTTTTCTCGAAACGTCTTAAGGTAAAGAATACCATCGTACAAAATCGCTCTCTGATCGCTCAATTATCGAGATATTTTGATGAAACTTGCTAAGCCGACATGTTCTGGTCCAAGGAGGAACTAACTAAGCTGCGATTGCGCTTTATCTCTTCCTCTCTGCTGCTTAATTGTAAGGCTTAGCAGATGATTTTATTAGAATTATAGTTTCTTCAGAACTAAAATTGAGAGAGTGGCTTGGTCTCATCTTCCAAGATATCTCTTTCTGGATTGAGGGTCATGAGAGTAAGTTGGTAAGCGGCTTAATAAGTCTGTTTTACTAATTTAATTTTAGTTTCTTGTTCAATAGTTTTTATTTAATCACCTCTTTCAAATTTAAAGGATTCGAAATTTATTTA